GGTCCTTAGTTGTAGCTTCAATCTTGTGTTGTAAAGTTAAACTGAAAGATATTACTTGCCTTGTCAAGTGCTACATTCTTGGAAGGAAAAGATTTATGGCCACGAGATAAAATGCTTAGAGACGATAACACAAGCTGCTGATCTGAAAATGGAGGGCACCAGTACAGCGGGACATGGTTAGACCCAGGAGAGAGGGAGAAAGTGGCAAGTCACTGAGGAGACATCCGGTCTGGTCTGTACTGCGGACAAAGCCGTCCAGCAGGAGAACAAAGCTGGAGCCTGGAGCTGAGATATACCAGACTGGTTGGCCCCTCTGTCTGGAAGTGTACGTGCCGCAGAGCAGGACTCCAGTTGAGAGGGGACACTGGGGGTGGGTTGAGCTCTTTTGGTGGTCTGGCTGTGAGCTGTCAGTTTGTCAGAGAGTTTGTCTGCATTCAACTCAGTTTTCATTTCACACACATTTACTGTCTCACCTCACACTCATTCTTCTCTACCATCGTTTTACCTCATCTCCCTTCTGTTTCTTCCTATTTGCCGCTTCCTTTTCCCTACCCTCTCCTGACCACAGTCATTACACTCCGTCCCCCACCCCTTCTCTCCTCATGTCGTCCTTCCCTCCTCCCCTCCATCCTTCAAATGCTGGTGGGCAGCAGAACAATATCCAGGGGGTCATGGTGACCGGCAACCCCCTCCCTGTGGTCTCTTCCTGCTATTGTCCCTCGTCCTACTGCTGCTTGGCTCCTGCACTCTATCAACCCCACACATAATGGCTTAATCACCACTGTACACTGTTATACTCTGGGCTCAGGCATGGGAGAAACACTAGACACTTGAGTGTATGAAAGCAGGATACCATGGGAAATTTGTGACTAATCCCTCAGAGGTATCTGATTAAACTATCACATGAATTACAGCCAGAATACGTAAACATGTACAGAAAGACGACGTAAATTATATTTATTCTGAATGCTTGCCTGTGTCTTTTACAACAGACTAAAATGGAGTGCATCTTTTTAATGTGGACTTTAATTTTTTCTCTTCAGCTGGCTAATGTGCTTGGCATGTTACTCGTGTGCTTAATCCTAGTAAACAATCATGCCATAATTAGGTTTATTTTCTATCCTGAGCCTCTGTTTGCAACCGGTCAGTTGCCTGTGACTGTTTCCCATAGTCTCAATTTATGCCCTATATAATACAGCTGTAACATCAGTTTGTTTCACTGCCAAGATGTCCCCACAAGAATAGGGGGGTCGTCACAATTGTAATGCAAACCAGACCACACAAGCAAACACAAAGCACCAGGCCTGATCCTCCAGAGAAGATGCGGTGACTGTCAATGTGATGCAACACAGAGAGCACATATGATTGAAGTCTTTTTTTTCATCATGGCAAGTGATGGCTGGAACAGAGCTGTACGCATGTGAAACCTGCTGCTGCGGTTGTCGGATGATTACAATTCTATAGGGTACCAAAGGTTTTTTTTTTTCTCTGACATGATGATCCAACAATGGCTCCATCTCCTCCTGTAGCTAGACCCCCTAAATTCTTTGATGTACCTGTCTGTCAGTGCTCTGCAGTGGCCGCAGCCTCAGATCACTTATTAAATGAGTCATGGATGTCAAGACCTCATCTCTGTGCCTCTTATCACCCATTACCTGCTATACCTGACTGTGGCAGCTCGTAATCTCCTCTCTCTGTGCTGCTGGCAGGCTTCAACTGCAGAGTCAGTTACATGAAAGGACTAAAAGAAGGGATCATGAAACAGGGATTTTACTGAAAAACAATTTGAGGAGTCTTAAATGTTAAAATGATTTATAACACGAGTGAGCTAGACGCTGTTACAGCAGTACATGAAAGTGATCATTTCAACATGATGTAGTATTTTCTGTCATTTCATTCTCCGGGAAGGAATACAGCTTTTAAAAAGCTTTTAAATATGTTTTGATTCATAGTGTAAATGCTGTTCAAATATAGATCTTCTATGTTGTCACCAGTACTTCTTACAAGTCAATGTCCCTTTTTGATTTCACTTTTATTAATTTAAAAAAAGTAACACAATTCAGATTTATCTTTAAAGAAATTACACAACAATCTGTCCTATTGGGCACAAAGTAAAGTAATTTCAGCACTAGCACACCAACATTTAAGTAATGCAAAGAGAAGAAAGAATCTTATTTATTCATCTATTATTTACTTTCTAATTCATTTATGTATGTGCATTTTTAACAGTCAGACACTGGAAAACCCATAAAGGATTCATTTTCAAATACTCAAATTATCACCACCCTGCTCCAATCAGCTAATTTCTTTTGATTTGTCTGTGTTGGTTCATGCTCAGCACCTTTTTTTGTTTTTTTTGGCTGCAGTAGACAGATTCCTATGAAAAAGCTCTAACATCCACTGTATACTATCTGTTCAGTACCAAACGGCACAGTTAGAAACTCGCTGGTGAACATTGTAAAGCATTTAGCATCTTAAGGGCCTGATATTTCCATCATTATTTCAGGAAGTTTGGTTTAAACATAAAGAGAGTATATATAGGGCTTAGATTTGTGCGTGTAACAATACATGAACCACATAATCAAAGGAACAAAACTCCAACACATGCAGCAGAATAGGAGGACTTAATCTCCACATAGACACAGGAAGAAGCATTATTCATTAAGATTTTGTATGTGGACAAAATGCATTTCTGCTTCCCTCTCTGTCTTTTACGTGCTCACTATCTTGTATTTACAGTCGCTCTTGTCACCGTACTTGCTCTCTCTCACCTCTGCTCTCAACAACCTGTCCTGTAATGCCACCCCTGGGGCAGTTTGAAATTTATTGCTTTTGGCCGAAGGCCCTCGCAACATAAATAAGCAGAAAGAAACAATGGGGCCGCCTGAATGAGCATCGTGGCAGAATTGTTGCGCAGTAGAAGGGACAGGAAGACCTGCACTTCACTTTCTATGCTATTGAAGAGAAAGTTCTGTAATCGTTCGTTGTATTCTTCACATTTCCATGCCCATTCGCTTTACTCATTTCCTTACTTTCCTTCCTTGTTACTTATACCCCCTTTCAGGCTAAAACAGCGTCATTGTTATGAATGGATCAACAATGGTATCTGACTGTCTGTGACCCTTTCGACAAAATTCTCGGAAAAATTAAACCACCACCAGGATTAAGTCATGAAATTTTAAAAGTACGATGATGTTAAGATATAGCTCGTAGCTCAGTGGCTACGTGGTGGAGTTGTGTAAAGGACACATCCTCTCTGTGAGCGTCCCAGGTAGCCTCTCCCAGTGACCTGTGATTTTTCCTGGAATGCTGCAGGGTATGTCAACTTCCCCTCAAGGCAGACGCTCACACCCAAGCACATAATACAGTGCACACACAAACACACACCTCAATCAGGTTCATACAATTTAAACTTGTCAGCAAAGTTATTCCATTTTTTTCTGCCTTATAAAAGAGACTTAAACTGTTAAAAATTCATATACCTTACATGTCAGCATTAGAAACACACTGCTGCATTTTACCGACATATGAATATTTATGTAGTCACACACACACAATATCTCTTTCTGTCTCTCTTGGACTTGCATATCTAACCGCCCACCCCCCTCACCGTCCTTGTCACGTCCACAGGGCGCCCAGCCTGCCTCGAGTCGAGAGGTCGTCTGTCTGTGAACCAGCACAGCACACGCCTCTCTTTGATCTACCCTGCACTGGCTGGGTAGATGCTACCTGCAGATAGCATATTCACACACACACACACACACACACACACACAAACATTTCTCGCTTCCTGTCTCTATGTTTCTGTTGGATGCATTATAATCTGCACACACTAGAGCATTTCTCTTCTCTCTGCATAGCTGTTGTTCTCTGGATATAGATTTTATGGATGATTTAAGATAAGCAATATTTTTTTTTCTATTTTTACATGCAATCAGAACAAGCAATGGAAAAAAACTTCAACTAACTTAAAGTGTTTTGATAAGTGTGTGTGTGTGTGTGTGCGTGTGCGTGCGTGTGTGCGTGTGCTCAGAGTCATCTGGTTGCCATTTGAAGGCAGAATTACAGCTAATGATATCCTAGAGGAAAACTACAGTAGCTAAACATGCAACAGTTCCTCTGTTTCTTTCTCCACCTACTTTTCCTCCCTGTCAGACTCTTCAAGCAGCGAGAAGTTTAAGTCTGGAAAAAAGCAGAGTTTTACAGATATTAATACTTTAGGGTTTTGTATGTGAAACCTTGTTAAATTGCTCTGGTCAGATTAAAGCTTTGAACTAGCAGACAGTTTAAGTGCACATTTGTCTGCCTTTTTTTTTCCTTAGGATATCACTGTGCCACACAAATGCAGTGCCCCCCCGCACGGACACACACACACACACACACACACACACACAC